ATGAATTTTGGGGGAACACACATTCAGTCAATAGCACCACCTTGAGTGTTGAGTGAGCTGCAATCAGGGGGAGAAGCAGAACAGGAAGGTGTTACTGGGGCCTCTGCTGCCCAGGCTGTAAAAGGCACATTAGGTGTGTGGCCTTGTTGGGCCCTGCTTTACAGGGGGTCCTGGGAAGCTGCTCTAAGCTGTGCACATCCCTGTGCTGAGCACAACTCCGAGGGGGCCCAGCTGGAAGTTAGCTTCCAATGAGATGGACCGAAGCGGGGCCATGGCCATGCCAGCTGCCTGCAGAGGGACACTAGGACGTGTGGAGGTGGGCTCTGACCTCTGAGGGGCTGGGGCAGGAGGCTGAGCCCCAGGGGCCAGCAAGCTGCTGGGCCAGGGCTGGAGGAAGAAATAGCCTCATGACACCTGCTGTGGGTGCCACCCCAAGCGTGGAGGTCAGGTCACAGAGCAGCAGCCTTGGGGCTCTGACTTGATGAGGAAATAGTGCCAGGTTTTACTGGGCATGTGTTCCACTGGGGTGTGGACATGGACCAGTCCTCGCTAGGAACTGCAGCTGGTGAGAATCGGGTTTTCAGCTCAGCCTCCTGTGGGAGCCCTGGGCGACAGGAGTCCTGTACTCCAACCCATAGACAGCCCCTTGCATTCCACATTCAGGGCATCCCACATTCTGGGCTCCTCTGTCCGGGACCCACCTGTCAGGGACTCACTTATGCTGCACCCAACTGTCTGTCCACTAAGAAGCTGGCTTCACCTGAGCTGGGAGCAAAGAGGCTTCCACCTTCCAGGCATCACAGCACTGTCCAGAGGCAGAGAGCGGGGAGTCTCTTGACTTCCGCGAGGAGCACTTGGCACCTCTCGCTGGCCAGACTCAGGCACTGGTGGGGGGTCCGGGCCCCCGTGGCACAAGGTTCAGCTCAGGTCACACCTTCCCTGAGTCTCCTTTGTGCAAAGGAAAGGAAGGTCTCTGAGCAAACAGGGTGGGCGTACGGGGTGGGGGCCAGCAGGCAGGGTGCAGTCAGCCCCAGTCAGCCTCAAAGGGAAGCCCCTGCCCCACCCTGCGAGGGTACATACAGAGATGTCCACTATCTCCAGGATAATTCTTCAAATTCTCTCTGTTCCGACGGAAACTTTTCAGGGATGCAATAAATCAATGAAATGAGAGAAAGGCTGGTTCCAGGTAATTCTGCAGCCAGTTGGGGGACAGCATGGACAGGGCACTGAGAATCTCAAGTGTGGCTGCAGTTCTGGGGCTATGGAGACTTAGTGGGGAAGGATACAGTGGGGCCAGACTCTGCGGGGTTCAGGCAGCTGCGTGAGCCTGCGCCCCCTTCAATTCTGGGAGTGGACAGCCCTGGCCCCTGCCACCTGGCCCTGACCTGCCTGACACACAGGAAGCCCAATGCTCCAGGCTCTGCCCAGGCTGAGATCGGCTTCTGTGGCACCCCCCTCACTGCCCTTCAGAGGCCAGGCACTGGGCACTTCGATGGTTGCCCCACAGGGAGGTCCTTGCACCCTGAATCTTGGGGTACTGCTCATCCCTGGAACATTGCCTCCTCAACACCTGCTCCACAAGCTGGGCCATGGTAAGGGGGGGTGCACAGTGACTCTCCACACTTTCACCAGCTCCCTGAAGAGACACCCCAACCTGCTCCCTACCAGCCCTCCTCCCTGACCCATTACCTCGGGCAGTCCGGCACAGATGGAACCTGGATGTGGGCTTGCCCTCCTCATACAGGAGTGGGAGGCTGGGCACGGAGGGTGGGACCCTCCGGGGTGTGCCTAGCAGTGGGGCTGGGGTCTGTCGGCCGGCACCCCTGCCCACAGCCCCATGTTTGCCCCGCTCCCCATTCAGGTCAGAACCTCAGGTCTGAGCCCAGGGAGAGGGCTGACTCAGGAGAGAAGCCCCAGATGGAGTAGACCCAGGGTGACCAGGCAGTGCTGAGGCCAGGACCTGCTGGGAGGGGGCCTGGGGGGGCCTGCAGGGGGTGCGGGTGAGGGCTGCTCCCCACAACCCATTTGCTGTCACCCCCTTCACCCCCTGGTAATGGGAATGACCTAACTCAGAGTCCTTGGGCCCCCTGTGACCCTCCACCCCGCCCCCATTGGCATTAGCCAGCATCCTGGGCACCCCTAAACTGGGGGACCCAGGAAGTGAGGGGCTGGCCCTGTCAGACCAGGGATTGGGGAAAGCTGCCCCCTGCGCATTAGAATCGCATTCGCTTTCTTTCTGTCTTGCCTCAGGCCTGGGGGTGGGGGTGGCGGCTCTGCTCGCACGCGAGGCCCTGGCCAGGGTCCAGGCTGCTGTCACTGCGGGGAGGCCCCATCGCGTGACAGGACCCGAGGAGGCCGCTGGGTGTGGCTCAGAATGTGGCTGCGGAGGAGGGAAGTGGGGGTGCCCGCGGCGCAGGGAGGGGTCTCCTGGTGGGGGCGGTGCGGGGGAAGAGACATGGGGGAATACGATGCGTGGGGGAGGAGGGGTGGTGTCCAAGTGTAGAGAGATGCGGGGTCAGGGAGAAATTAGCAGTTGGGGCGCCCCCCCCACTTTTGACCCCCCGAGTGGGCTGCAGCCCGTGTGCACCTGGGAGTGAGCTGTGCACGCTGAAGTGAGGGGCACGGTCCCCGCGGGGTGGAGGGGTCAGCGGCGGCATCCGCGGTGACGTCACCGCCTGGGGTCCACCCCCAGCCTCGCAGCTGTGGGAGTCAGCATCCCCCTCCCCCACGGTGTCTGCTGGCGAGAGAGTAGGAGGGAAGGGGGACACTCCAGCCCCAACCTCCCTTCCCTCAATTCAAGGGAGGTGCTGGGGAGGGATGGGGCCAAGGAGCTGACTCGAGCTAGGGAGAGGGTGGTGGCGAGCTGGCAAAGGAGTTTGCAGAACGGGAGGTCTTGGTGGTCTGGGTCTGTAGCCTGTGACGTGGGTGCACTGAGGTGGGGTCCTGCCAACCCCCAGCATCACTCCTGGCCTTTACTGAGCCCCAAATCCCCCCAGGCACAGTGGGCTCCTTCCCCAGCCCCCCGGCTCCAGCCCCCGCCTCAGCCCAGCCCCAGCCCCAAGCCCTAACTGGTAGGACTATCTGGGTGGGCTGGGAAGCCAGGCCTGGCGGTTGGGGCTGCCTGGAGGGGTGGGGGTGGGGAGAGATGGGGGAGGGTAGACCTCCTTGTCTTATTCCCACACCAACTTCTCCTTGATCTTTCTGGCGTCTGTGTCTATAGAACACTCACTGGCTGAGCCTTCTGAGACCCGGAGGTCCCTTCAGGGGAAGGGCTGCTCCTGGGTCTCTCTTGGGGAGCAGAGAGCCTTCCGACTTCTGAACCTGCATTGAGAAGCAGGGTGCACACCAGAGGGGATTAAGAACAATCTCCTTTAACGTCTCAGAGCTCAGCATGTTGGCCCTTTGGGGACTTGGTTGCTGAGAGGGTGGCTGGTAGCAGACAGCCTCGGAGTGTTTGTCGGGGACCTCCTGGCCACTCCCCCCAGGGGTGACTGCTCACGTCTCCAGGAATACACCCGCCTTCTGGGAGGAAAGGGGTTCCCTTCTTGTTACATTCAGTGCAGCGACATGGGTTAGCGCGCATTCGCCGTGGGAGAGGAGGCTGATGGCACAACAGCTTCCGGGAGGGAGGGATGGAGAGCTCATAGGCCACAACATGGTCAAGAGGTGCCCATCCTCCCAAGGGCCGCCTCCCTGTGTTGAGCTCTCTGCCCTGAGGACACTCTGTCAGCACCAGAGGATTTAATGAAGGGGCCCACCGTGGCCTCTGTGGGGTGGGGACTGCTGGCCCAGGGGTAACCTGGTGTGTGTCCACTCTGTGGGGAGGAGGGTCGGACACCGTGTCTCAAGCTGGAGCTCACATTCGGGCCCCACTGCACTGTGGGTCTGGGGGCCTGGACCCCCTCAGAGCAGCTGCTGCCCACCTCTCTCTAACTGGGGTGAGGGGGTGTCTGTGGGGAGCAGGCCCTGTGTCTGAGTGGGGCTCCGTGGGGAGTGGAGGGCAGAGCTTTGGCTTCCCTCACAATCGATGGATGAAGCTGCCTGAGTAAGAAAGCAGCACAGACCAGCGCATCCTGGAAAAAAGTTCAGCACGACCTGCTGGCTCTGAAAGAGAAAACACTGGAGATTTAAGTGCCCACACGTACGTTTTATCCCAAGACCAGAGCAAGTGCTAGGGCTCCACCTCGGGGCCCCGGCCCTCAGTTGCAGTGACGTCACCTGTAGCTTCAGTTTGCAAATCCCAGAAATGAGGGGAAGCTGTGAGGCACTGCCCCACCCGCCCTCCACGGAGGTGAGGCCCTGAGTTCCAGACTGCATCCCCCTACTCGCCCGTCCTCTTGGCCCCGGGGTCCTCCCATAACTGCTGGGTGTCAACGTGGATGCTGAGCCTGCAGTGGAAGGTCCCTAACCAGCTCCTGGGAGCTGGGAGTTGGACATCTGTCTGTCTGTCTGAACTCTTCCCCCCAAAGTGAAGATGGAGCCAGCCTGGGGAGGGGGTGGGAATGTGGGGATGGGAGAAGCATAAGGGTGCCGCCAGCGTCACAGGGCAGGGTTGCAATGTGAGGGCCGGCAGCTTCCTGGACTGGAGCCATCAGTGCGGTAATGGATGCCTGTGGGGTGTGGGCTGCTCCATACAAGATTCCTTGAAGCCAGTGAGGCTCCGAGTGGTTCGTAGGAGGTGGGTCGAGAGCAGTTTCTGGGGAGCAGAGTTAGGGGGATCCTCAGGTCAGGCCCAGCCGAGATGTCCTGATCTCCCAATGTGAGCTAGTTGTTCCCACGTGGCTGCCCTGGTCAGATATCCTGGTTCCTCCTGCCCGTCCTCTTCCCGGGGAGGCCGAGCTGCCCCAGTGCGCCCTGGTGGCCATGGGTCAGTGTGGGACTGAAGAAGGTGGCCGTGAGGAGCAGCGGGGTGAAGAATGGAGAAATGCAACTTAACAAAGGCTTGCAACTAGGCCTGGGGCCCAGGGAGGGTGCTAACGTGCTCTGTTTCTGTCTGACAGCCGTGCAGGAGAAGTGCCCGCGCCAGCCAGTGGCCGGTGCCCCCTCGCCAGAAGAGAGTGGTCCTTGTGGAGGGTCCGCAGTGCTGGAGGGAAGGCTCCTGCTGGAGGTGAGCTCCCTTAACCCCTTGATCACACGCAAGGTCACACACAGTGCAGGCCTCTCCCCAGGGCCCTGAGGCTGTGACCATTTACAATGAACTAGAGTTAAGGCTCTGAGGCGTCTCTGTGGATGGAGCCCCAGGATCTCCTGGGAGCAGCACAAGTCTGGGGGCTCAGGCTCCAGGTGAGTGCTGGACAGAGAGGACCAGCCATGGCCGGGCATCAGATCTAAAAGCCATTTTCATTCTGCATTCTCTGGTTGTGCTTGTCTATGGGAGAACCGAATAAAATACTAAGCAGGATTTTTTTTTTCCTTTCAAATTAAGGACAGGAAATTGTGTATTAAGCTTCCTGTGGTCTGGCAGGTGCGGCTGGCTGGTCCATTTATTGATATTACACGCTGATGGCGAGGGTGGGGTCGGCCCTTTCTTCTGAGATGGACACGCCCCTCCGTGATTCTAGGGTGTTTCCTGACCCTGCCAGGTGGGCCTTTCCATGCAGGATGGGGGAGCCATGCTCTGTTTCTTAGGAGATGTAATGCTGAGGACTTTTCTGGGTTGTGTCAGATCAGTGTTTCACAGAGTGAGAGTGTTGCTGCCTTGCTGGGGCCAAGGACTCTGAGCTCCCCAGGCCCTGGCTTGTCCTTTCTCGGCAGGGCTGGGAGGAAGCAGCCGTCCCTCCGTGGGAGGGTGTGGGGGACACAGGGAGAGAAGCCCATGGCAGGTGGCCCCATAACCAGCAGCCAAGGTGCTTCTGAAGCTCCAGATGCTTCCCCGGGAGGAGCTGGGCTCACGTGTCCCCGCAGAGTGTCCACTTCAGACCCCGACGTCCAGGGCAGAACTGGTTCTTACGCCCCAGCCCCATGTGGTGGGTGGTTCCGTCTCCCAGGTGAAGCCTCCTCTACTCCTCTCCTCCCACATTTGGTTCATCTGTTAGGTCAGTGACGGCGAACCTATGACACACGTGTCAGAGGTGACACACGAATTGATTTTTTTGGTTGATTTTTCTTTGTTAAATGGCATTTAAATATATAAAATAAATATCAAAAATATAAGTCTTTATTTTACTATGGTTGCAAATATCAAAAAATTTCTAAATGTGACCCGGCACCAGAGTTAAGTTAGGGTTTTTCAAAATGCTGACACGCCGAGCTCAAAAGGTTCGCCATCACTGTGTTAGGTGATAGCTGAAGGGCAGAAATGGTGAACTGCTGGTGCCATTTAAGCCGGGTCCAGTACCCCTTCTCTACACGCTGGCAGCAGCTTCGCTCTAGGTGCTTCTTCTGCACCCCAACCTGCTCCGTGGCAACCAGAACAGGCAGAGCCTGAAAGGAGACCCGGGCCCTGCTCCCTGCCTGATGCCCAGGCTCCTGGGATGACCTCCGTGGTTCCTGCGGCTCCTCCCCAGGGGGGGCCAGTCTTGCAAGGGAGGATCGATGGTCCCCTGGGCTCGTCCCTCCCACAGGGACAGGTGGCTGACCATGGCCAGCTGGGGCGGCCTCACTGACCAGAGCAGCGCCAGGCCACTTGGGGGCTGCGTGTGTGAAGTGGGGACACCAGGTGAGGCCCCACCCTCAGGCTCACTCAGCCCCTCAACCCTCTTCCTCTGTCCCCAGCTCTTCAGCCCATCTTCCCTCAATGCTTTCCTGGGTCCCCCTGGCAGCTTCCCTGAGAAGTCTCGTAAGTTCTTTGATGATCAGCTGTCTAACCGGCGTGACCCTCATGGTCCCCACAGGAACCACATGGCCCCCCAGGACCCCATGCTCCCCCACCCCAACATCTCTGCCCTGTTGAAAGGTTTGGGTGTGCTCTCATGAGGATCAGTGAGCTTTTAAATTATTTCCTTTTTAAAAAATAAAAATATGTGAGGAAGTACATTCTTGCCGTCCAGTTTGCTGGGTCCGTGGGTGTTTGGGGGACTCCCGTCCTAGAGGGAGTGTGGGTTTCATTTCAGGTCTGTCTGGAACAGAGCGTGGGTCCAGCCTCAGTATGTGCGTGTGTGTGTTGCGGGGGGAGGGGGGGTGTCATGTTCTCGGTGGAGGAAATACTTCCATACTTCAGTATTTATCAGGTTTTCAGGAAGCAAATTCTTAAATATTATTTTTCCTTAAAAAACTTTTGTCAGTGCTATAGTAAAATTGGAGCTGGAATTGTGGCAGTTGGATTTTATTCTTGGCAAAGATAATTGGCATTACATTTTTATGATTCATGTTCAAAGTTAAGATAATAAAATCTTAATCATAAAATCTTTTAAAAACTTTTGTTCTGAGCTATAAATACAGGAGCTTATGCACAAAGTGCCCAGCCTCCCTGGTGGAGCTCAGGGGACAATTTCACATATGTTCACACATGTCCTCACCGCAGCCCTCGTCCTGCTTCTCTGCTGGGTTTGCAGAGAGCAGCACCCCAGAGGCTGTCTTGTGCATTGTGCAACGTTGCCCTCATGTCGCGGTGCTCGCCCCCCCCCCCCCCCCCCCCCCCCCCCCCCCCCCCCCCTGGTTCTTCTCTGGGGGCTCGGTCTTCCCTGGAGGCCTCAGGGCCGCTGACTGAGGCTGAAGCCCAGGAACTAACCAGGAACTAAGGACCAGGCCTGACTCCTGAGTGCCCACAAGCTTCCTCAGGGGCTGGGAAGGAGGGGAAGGCAGAGCTCATCCCCACTGTCTGCCACTGATTTTCTGAGTTCTGCCCAGCGTGTGGATGTTTTTGGAGCTACCCTCCTGGTGGGACTTTTCCAAGGAAGACGTCCCAAGGCTGAAGGACGCACTGCCCATCTGCTCAGGGCACTGCAGGCTGTCCTGGCGCCCATCCTGCCCTCTGGCCACCAGCCAGGTCGGAATAGTGCTCTCCATGCCGCCTTTGAGAGCATGAGATCTCTAAATGTTTTTGAAGCCTCATTCATTCTGCCACCTCTTGTTTGTGGTTCTCTGTGGCCCACAGGAAGTTTCTGGAAGCTTCCTTTGGTTGCCGTCAGGGAGGTTATGTGGTGAGTGTCCTCTCTCACCTGGTGATTCTCAAACTTTGGGTGAGAGACTCTTCGTGAAGTTTAAAAGTATTCCCAAACAGGGCAAAAGAAGCAGATTAAGCAACAATAACAAGAAAATCCCAGCTTTTATTTCTAATCTTCAATCTCTTGAAGACAGACCAGAAAAAAGGGAGAGGTTTATGGCAGGGCATTAATTCATAAAAAATGTAGAGCTGGTGCAGCCTTTAGAGTGCCTGTGGTCTGATGCCTGTTATTTCAAGATGAAGAAACCAGGGTCTGCAGCTGTTAGGGGCTGGTTCAGGGTCCCCGTTGAGGCTGGGGCTGGAGCTGGACTCGGACCCGTGTTTCTTTGTCTGAGTTTAGTCGCTCTTGGGCTCAGTGGCTCCAAGCCCTTTGCTCCCCTGGGAACCCAGGAGAGACAGACAGACAGACAGACAGAGTTGCCACCCAGTGAGCACTTTGGCACAGGCGCTGCATATGGCCTGGGGGTAGGAGCTTGGTGGGAAGAGGAAACCAGGAGCGGATGTGATGGGATAGAGGGTTCTGCACACACACACACACACACACACACACACACACACACACACATTAGGTGTGAATAGAACAACGCTGTGAGCTTTGAGCAGGGGTCAGAGTGCCTCCGTTTTCATTTCTACTTGTAAGGTGGGCTGCAAGGCCATTGTGTTTAGTGCGGAAATGATCATGTTCGCAGGAACTATGAACTTGGGCCTGGGGGGTGGAGTCAGATTGATGGTATGACTGCTTGACTCTGGCTGGAGTTCAAGTGCATTGTGGCTGCATGATACATTTTCTGAAATTTTTATTTTTAATTTAATTTATTGTGGTTACATTGGTTAATAAAACAGGTATCAAGTGTACAATTCTTATATATTCTATTGTGTATTCACCATCCAAAGTCTAGTTTCCTTCCATCACTATTTATCCCCCCCTTTCCACTCTTCTACCTCCCCCTTTTCCTTCTAATCACCATACTGTCCTCTGTGTCTATGAGGTTGCTTTTTTAAAAAATTTAATCCCTTCTTCTGTTTCACCCAGACCCTCTCCCCTCTGACAGCTGTTGTAAATAGCACTGCAATGAACAGAAGGGTGCATATATTCTTCTGAATCAGTGTTTTGGGTTTCTTTGGATATATTTTCAGAAGTGGAATCACTGGGTTATAAGGCAGTTCCATTTTTAATTTTTTGAGAAGCTCCATACTGTTTTCCACAGTGGCTGTACCAATCTGCATTCCCACCAACAATGCATGAGGGTTCCCTTTTCTCCACATCCTGACCAATACTTCTCATTTGTGGATTTATTGATGATAGCCACACATTTTGACAGGTGTGAGGTGATATCTCATTGTGGTTTTAATTTGCATTTATCTGATGATTAGTGACGTTAAGCACCTTATCATATGTCTGTTGGCCATCTGTATGTCCTCTTTAGAGAAGTGTCTATTCAGGTCCTTTGCCCACTTTTTAAAAATTGGATTACTTGTTTTTTTGGTGTTGAGTTGTTTAAGTTCTTTATACATTTTGGATATTATGCATTATTGGTGAATATATTCTCCCACACAGTCTTTAATCTTGCAACCTTTAGTATGATATTAGCTTACATTTGTTTTATTGTGTTGTTTTGTTTTTTATAGCTATGTTATATCTGATTAAGAAATTTCCCTTTAATTCTTGTTTTCTGAGAGTTCTTATTATGAATGAATGTTAACTTTTGTCAAAGGCGTTTTCTGCATCTATCAAGATGAGCATGGTATTTCTTCTGTTAATATTGTGAATTCTGTTGTCTGATTTTCACATGTTGAGCCCACCTTGCATGCTCAAGATAAATCTTATTGCTGGATTACATTTGCTTATATTTTGTGGGAATACTTGTGTTTACGTTTATGAGAAATATTTTTGTACTTTTCTTTCTTGTAATGTCTTTGTCTAGTTTTGCTATGGTAATGCAGGCTTCAAATTAGTTGAGAGTATTCCCTTCTCTTCTGTTTTCTGGAAGAGATTGTGTAGA